CCCATCTGTCACTTTGCTGTACTGTGGTGGCTTACGTGTTCCTGTGATCCGGAAGCCATGCTACCTGAATTTCAAATACCAACAGGGTCATCCATGGTGGACAGGTTTCTTTGGAGCTTCCAGACCAAGACAGACTAGAAAGAAAGGCCTGGTGATGTATTTCCAAAAATTAGCAAGTGAAAAACTTATGAATCACAACAGAATACTGTCCAATTCACTTGCTTTGGATATGTAATCAGGAAGGATCAATCACTAGAGGAAGATATCATGTTTGGTGAAGTAGAGGGCCAACAAGGGCATGGGAGACCTTAGGTGAAATGGATTGGCACAAGAGCCTCAACAGTGGACTTCAACATGATGGCGATTGTGAGGATGATGCAGGACTGGGCAAAGTTTCATTTTGCTGTACGTAAGGTCCCCATGAGTTGCAGTTGACTCAAGGACCAATCATTCTTGTTCTAACAACAATGACGATGACAAGATATTCCAAATGCTGTGCTAAACACCTCAAATTCAGCATTTCATAGAACTCTTAAATAACCCCATGAGCTAAGAACTAGCACTATCACTGTTTTACAAAGGAGGACACTGAGGCTGAGAGAGGTTAAATAAATCACCTAAAGTCAAGCAGTAAGTTGTGGAGCCAGATTGAGACCTAAGCATAGGGCTCCAGAGCTCCTACCCCCCAGGACATGTGGAATGGCAGCACACCAGAAAACTCTCCAGCATACATGTGCCTTTTAATCTGGCTTGAACTGTGACGTTTCTACTGCTCAGAAGGACCTTAGTTAATGCCAGTTTTGCACACAGTCAGAATAAGTGGTTGTCTCCATTGTTTTCTTCCTGAGACACTGAGAAAGTTTTATTTTTCCCCAGAATATACTTCTGTTCCCTCTACTACTTTCATTTCAATATTTTAGCTTAAATTAGTATTTCTCAAAGTGTGTTCTGTGGAACCTAAGTCCTGTATAAATAATTATATAAATGTTTACATAAATATTATTATAAACAAAAAAAGGTCCTCTGATCTCATGAATTTAAGAAGTAGTGGATGAAAAAAAAAAAAGTTTAATTGAATAAGGGTTCCCAGTTTTCTACATACTAACAAACAGTATGAATCTTCAGAAGGGGGATATAATGCATCATTTCACAAATTTATATGACCACAGATGGGACACTTTTGTTCTTAGAGCATACTGTAAGATTAGCATTTCATGGAAGACGTGATGAGAAACATTGACTTAAGGTTTTGAAACCTATGAAGGGTTACAGATTAAACTGTGTCAAAATCTGTTTTGTACCATAAAGTGACAAAAGTACCTATCAGTAGAATCAATTTTAAGTTCTTGTGGGGAGCTATAGCCTTTCCTGAAAGGCAGCTCTCGATCAGTCCCATTTTAAGTCTATCCATAAAACAAACAAAGCTTGCATTGACTGATAAAGAATGGTTGATTTATCCAATCATTCTTTACATTTTTTGCTGTAGAATGATTTTGAATCATACATAGACACAGACTCAGATTCTAAAACTAAGGAACAGTCTGAAGATAACACCTTCAGAAAAAAGTTAGGCATTAATTGATCAATACCATCTGCTGACCTGACACCAGACAAAATGAAGTAGGTTCTCAGTATACCCCTCTGCCGCCTATAGTTCTGCAAGCTGTGAGCTGCCCTAGGGAGCCCAGCTCAAGTGTCAAGTAGAGGCTGGAATCCATCCTTTGCTGTGTTGCCAAGCCCTTTTCCCTGGCATATAACCCGTTCCATGGAGAGGAGATTCTTGTTTCTAATTCCCACAGAGGGACCTTCTCCTTGCCGAGTCTTGTGCCCTCAGAAGCCTTGTCCACTCAGAGGGGGCACTCTTCTCTAATTATCACCACGGAGCTGCATGGTCTAGGCAGGGCCCCTCTCAGCCTTCTTTTCTTCCCTTTGTTTAATTTCCTCAAGCCTACTCTGTTTTTACCCGGAGAAAACAGTTTAAGTTTATGTTTCCTTTTGTCTGCCCTCATTTAGGATGTCTGTCTAGAAAGTGGAGCCCTAGAGGTGCAGCAGTTAAGAGCTCAGCTGTTAACCAAAAGGTCAGCAGTTTGAATCCACCAGCAGCTCCTTGGAAACCCTATGGGGCAGTTCGACTCTGTCCTATAGGGTCGCTATGAGTCGGAATCAACTCAATACCAACTAGCAACATAACAACAACATCTAGAAAGTACTACCCCAAAACCTCCATATTACATTTTTCCCGTCCCCTACTATCAACATATTTCTATTCCTCACTGTTACTAATCACACTCTGCAAAAATTCATTTGGATTGAACTAATTCTTATAGGTTAAATAAACAAAACAAACAACAACAAAATAAAACCCAAACCAGTTGCCATCGAGTAGATGCTGACTCATGGCAATCCCATGTGTTTCAGAGTAGAACTATGCTCCATAGGGTTTCCAAGGCTGTGACCTTTCAGAAGCAGATCACCAGGCCCTTCTTCTGAGGCACCTCTGGGTGTGTTTGAACCACCAACCTTTGGATCAGTAGTCAAGTGCTTAACCATTTGCACTACTCAGGGCTCCATAGATTAAATAGGTTTTTCAAATTTATATGATCATGTAATGCGTTGTAAAATACTTACTGATATTCCTCTAACTTAGGGCCAGCAGACACATTATGGGAAATAGTTACTTAAGTTAAGGAATGAAGGGAAACCAGTCACAGTAGAGAAGAGCTTTCCCAGGAATTCAGATGACTGATGGCGTGTCTTTCCTGATCAGGAAAAATAATTTCACGAACCCCAGCTCTCAAGGCAATGTAGCCAAGAAAAGGGAGGGCAGCAGTGGAACTTCCCTGTGTGCCTGAAATCATACCACAGTAGCAACTGTCTGACCTAACTGTACACAGAGCCCACCCAATGTTGAAAACGTTTAAAAAAAAAAAAGAAACGTACCTCATTTTCTCTAGAACATAGAACATTTCAAACTGCAAAAATTAAAGCTTAAAAAGGAAATACTGAAATAGCCCTGATGAAATGACTATAGATACTTAATTGACTGTTTGGCTGACTGTGGTCCTCAGTAAAAGCAAATGACAGAGCAATCCTTAGAAAGAGGGCAACTCTTTTCTTTAACAATGCTGTCTTTTTTTTTTTTTTTTTTAACATTCTGGTAAAAGAAGTATATAACACAACTTTTTGGAAAGCAAATTGAAACAAGGAGTCTTTAATCTGGGGGCAAAAATGAAAAACAAAACAACATTGTGACTCTTTTCCAATTGATCGTGTAGTTGGTGCACTAAAACTCATGAATCCGAACCATACCTCTGAAGATTTTTATACTGTTCTGATTGTAGGAAAGATCAAAAAATAAATGTAAACTGATCATTTCAGTAAATTAGCCCTGGTTAAGGGCTTAAAAGACTTTTTCTTCTGCTATTTGGAATTTGAATTGGTCAAAAAGACTTTTTCTTCTGCTATTTGGAATTTGAATTGGTCAAAACTGATTCTACTGAAACTCTGGGGACTGTTTTTTGGGCAGAACTTTTTAGATGTCCTGGCTCTGCAATTTAAGAAATTCTGTGACGGGCTATTAATCTCTCTCAATCTCAGTGTGATTTTATTAGATTAAGTTGGATCATAATTGTACCCACTACATCAAGCTGTTGCTGGAATTAAATGAGATAATGTATGAAAGCACTCAACATAGCAGCTATTCAATAAACACCAGTAATTATTATCTTCTCTGATACAAATTATAATTTAGCAGGCCGTACTACTGGAAGTTGAGTTGGTGGCTCAAATGAGTATATCTCTTGAAAGCAAAGCGCATTCAATGTTTAATGAGAAACCTGTGGGTTTATAACTCTTCTAACATCAAACAACCATCCTGCTCATTCTGAGATGCTGAGAGCTTTCAGACCCCCAGGACCTGATGTCTTAATTGCAGAGTGAAGAGGCCCTGCAGGCCAGCAGCCTGGGAGCCTCACTCTACCCTGAGTGTTTGTACCAGGCCTTGAATTCAATCACCATCTCAACTGGAAAGTGTACATGACTGGGAGATGCTGCACACTCAGTGGTAAAACCAGTGTGTTAGGGTTAGAGATGTGGATAACTAAGAGAGGTAGATGCCACATTATGCAAGGTACCTATTATCAGATAATACCAGTACCAGTACAAGTTGCCACTGAGTCAATTTCGACTCATGGTGACCCCATGTGTTGTGGAGTAGAACTGTTCTTCATAGGGTTTTCATGACTGTGACCTTTCAGAAGCAGCTTGACAGACATTTCTTCCATGGCACCCCTACATGGGTTCAAACCACCAATGTTTAAGATGATCCAAAAAACAAAACCTGTTGCTGTTGAGTCTATTCTGACTCATGCAGCCCTATAGGACAGAGTAGAACTGCCCCATAGGGTTTCCAAGGCTGTAATCTTTACAGAAGCAATCTGCCACATCTTTCTTCCATGGAGCAACTGGTGGGTTCAAAAGCAATACATCTTTTAATGGAATTTTGTTTTTTAGGGCAAACATTTACTAATCATCATAGCATACGTATCTACAGTTACTGACAGTTACTTTATCCTCTTGTGATAATGACACATCAAAACTTCTGATTTGGTGAATTCAAAAAATAGACGTGTTTACTTAAACAAACAAACAAAAAATACAACTAATGACTTGCTTAAGGTTTGGGTCACTGAACAACCAATAATCAGAAACATGTATTTCAGAAAAATCATTAGCAGACTGAAAGAACACATGATCAATTTATAAGCATCTACATCTAACTGATAGTAGTAAACTGTCAAAGTCCACATGAAATTTTGAGGAATGTAACCTTGGGAAAGATTTTTTTTTTTTTTTTTTACGTAACGGAATTATACCTCTGGATGCTGAAAACTCATTAATTTAGTTGTTTGATGTTACTTTAAACACACATACAAATATACCTATACACACACACACACACAGACACATACATACATACATGAGTCAAAGAGAGCACCTACTGTCACTTCATTCATGCTCAGAAGCATGGGGCTAGGTGGCAAGGTACCAAGGCGAAATTTTAAACCTTCTTCTAAAGTCATTCCCCAGAATTGGCTGTAGTTCTGTGCTGTCCATCTGCCTTACAAATGAAAGAGAAAAATATGTATAGGTTATGCATATCACTTTTATAATTAAATGCTTATTTATATTTCCTAAATTATACAATAAAAATTGCAGCAGACCTCACAAAAGGGGAACTATTACTGCAAGCTACATATTCTTAAATATGTTCTTACGTAGAGGATTTACTATTGATTAATAATCAAGCACACGAGACATTCTTCCTGAATTAGGTTCTTTTCAATTATTTAATGACTCATGAGGACCCTAAGGTACTATCAATATGGTCTAAATCTAACAATATGAAATCTTTACGTTCTGTAAAAGGATTAAGTGATAATAAGGGCAATATATGCGGTTTATTTGAAATGGCATTAAATACATTTTAGAAAGATGCTTACATAGGCAGAAAATTTATCTGTAGATAAAATTGGGTAATCTGTTTCATTGATAATTTAAATTTCAAAAGAAGTCGACTAGATTTTTTTTTTTTAAAAATCCATGTAGAATTGAGGACAAAATCTTTATACTTAAAAACAATTACATCAGTGCCAATTGGCTAGTATTGAAATATTCTGTTATGTATTAAATCAGCTAATTTGTGTTAAGTGCTCAATAATTTTAGATTTTAGAAATAATACAAAAATCAATTGATGTGAAATTAGATATCAAAGGAGTGCCTTTTTCTAGAGAAGTGTTTTGTGTTCTTACTTAGAAAAACTTTATTTACAAAATTTAACATTAAAATAAGAAGACAATAAAAATTCCTTAAAAGGTAATAGGAGATGGAAAGTGAGAAAGATGAAAGTAATTTAATCACTGCCTGTCTGAATTATCTACAACGTTAGCATGATATATTTTCAGGATTTAAGTCAAATCTAAATTGTATCCTGTTGTGCTTACTACCAAAATCGTTTATAATGTGATAGGCTGTTATGAATGATTGAGGATACAGCTCAATTTTCAATCATATGCCTGGCAATTGAATGCTTTTCTTTTATAAGACCTGTTAGTTCATGAAATCTTAAGCAACTGTCAACTACAGTTTTAACAAGCTATCTCCTTTACCCAAGGAATTTCATTAAAGAAACTTCTGAATAGATTAGATATTGTATTATTTAAGAAAGTAGCAGAGCCAGCCTTAGGCATAATGATGAAGTCAGTAAAGTGTGTTTTTGGTAACCTACATGCGTAGTTTTCAAACTGTAGGTCACAAGACATACATAGGTCATTTAATTAACCACATTTTAGTGAATAAGGATGAACATTTTTATAAAAAATAAAATTGAATTTATTGCAAACAGTGCGGGTAAGTAGCGTATATTGTGTATTTAACCCAGTTGCTGTCCAGCCGGTTCAGAGCTGTGCTCCATGTGGTTTTCAGCGGCTGATTTGTTAGATCTCCAGACCTTTTTCCCAAGGTGCCTCTGAGTGGACTCGAACCTCCAACTGTCAGTTAGCAGCGAAGCCTGTTAACCATTTGTATCAGCTAGGGACTCCATATTAGGTGTCCGTGTATGTGTGTGTATGCATGTGTGTGTGTAAATAGAGCCCTGGGGGTGCAGTGGTTAAGTGCTTGGCTACTAACCAAAAGGTTGGCTGTTCAAACCCACCAGTGGCTCTGTGGGAGAAAGATGTAGCAGTCTACTCCCATAAAGATTCCAGCCTTGGCAACTCTATGGGGCAGTTCTACTCTGTCCTACTGTATTGCTATGAGTCAGAATCGACTTGACGGCAACAGGTTTGGTGTTGGTTTGGTGTATATAAATTGCGTGTGTGTCTGTGTGTGTGTGTGTATAAAATGTGTGCATGTGTGTATTAGGTCACAAAGTAAAATGGATCTTTTACTGTGAGTTGTCACCCAAAATAGTGTGAAAGGCCCTACCTACTCCATCTTACTTGACCTAGACTCATCACTTTCTTTTAATCCAATTTAACATTTATTGAACATTCTTAATTTATCTCTCATATTCTCTTGTAAACACTAGGGTTGTAGAAATAAATAAAATTTCTCTACCTTCAAGGAAGCCATACCCTAACAAGGATTACAAAAACGGATATGACTTCAATGTCTGTCATTTATTAGCAGTAGGTTAAAGTATGATCAGAGTCTAGGATACAAACGTAACTTTGCCTGGGGGAGTTGTTTTTTGTTTTTGTTTTTGTTTTTACAGAAAATGACTTTAGTGCTCAGTCTTAAAAGATCAGAGTGAATTTGGTGTCCAGATGTGAAAGAAGAAAGCATTTATTCTAAATAAAGACAACTCTTGAGAAAAGCAGGCAGGTTTGAAAATGGGTGGCACATTTACGGAACAGCAGATAAGTTAAATGTTTTAACTGTGAGAAAAGATATGGAACTGGAAGGAATGTGAAAGATGAGGCAGTAAGAAACATCCGGGCCAGATTGTTATTTATGTGAAGAAGTGTAAATAATGTCCTTTAAGCAATGGAGTCGCACTGAAGATTTTTAAGAATATGAATGACAGAATCAAAGTTTTGTTTTAGAAGGATAACCATTAAAGTATAAAGGATTGATTAGAGTTTGGTCAAACTGGAAACAGAGAGACCAGTCAGGCCACTTCAAAGCTCTGTTTGATAAAGAAATGCACTGGAATGTAGCATAGGACTGGAGGAAATAAATACCTAAGAGAAACTTTGAGTCTGGGAATTAGCAAGTTCTGGTAAGTGGGAGTGGAGGGGGAGGAAGAATCATATAAACTTCAAATTTTCTGGCTTGGTTGACTAGGTGGAGGGTGATGCTGGTAACCAAGGGTAGGTAGAGAAAGTCAATACCTTTTGTTTGGGGTGTGCTAATTTTGAGAAACTTGTGAAAAATCAAGACCAAATTGTTCAGTTGACTATAGATTTCGAGTCTATAAGAAAATTCAATTGTAGAGATGTTGTGATAGATTGAAAAAGACCACAGATTATTCTCAGCTATTCCTATCAAGGGAGCCCTGGTCGAGCAGTGGTTAAAGTGCTTGCTTGCTAACCGAAAGGTCTGTGGCTCGAACCCACCAACCACTCCAAGGGAGGAAGACGTGGCAGTGTGCTTCTGTAAAGACTAACAACCTTGGAAACCCTATGGGGCAGTTCTACTCTGTCCTAGAGGGTCACAATGAGTAGGAACCAACTCAACAGCAGAAGGTTTGGTTTGGTTTGGTTTGGTCTTCACATCAAAAGGAGGAGTCTATTTCCCCAACCTTTGATTCTGGACTGGCCTAGTGGCTTTCTTAAATCACAAAATGCAGTAGAATTGATACTGTGCAATTTTCAAGCTTAGGTGTCAAGAGAACTTGCAGCTTCTACTCTGCCCTATTATAACATTGTGATGATGTGAAGAAGCCAAGGCTAGCCTGCTGGAGACAGATGGCTCAACCAACAACTAGCACTAACCACCAGACATGGAGATGAGCCCATCTTAGACAATCCAGCCCCAGCTGAGGCTCCAGATGTCTGTAGACACATAAGTGACCCCAGGAGAGACTAGCAGAAAGAGGAACCTCAGCTGAGTCTATCCCAAATTGGTGATGTGAGCAAATGAAAAGCTGTGATTTTAAGTCACTAAATTCTGGAGTGGTTTATTACACAGCAGCAGAGAACTGAAATAGTTATGTATTTCCCTTTGTACTATCTTTCTGATTATTAATTGCAACACTAATTTGGTACGTATGTACCACCCCATCATTAGAAATCCTTTACAAAGTTATGGTACTTTGTCTCCTCAGCTAGATGGTAAATTCCTTTAACACAGCAACTATTTATTTGTATCCTCAGCAGTGCCACAAATGCAACACGTTTTATTGGTATTAACTGATTGCATTGAAAAATAATACAGGGACTCAATAAGCACTGAAGTAGGTTATGAAGAATGAATAAAGACTTAGGTCTAAAATGCTACTAGGATACAGAAAATCATGTTTTAAAGCAAAGGTCGTATATTTGTATGTATACTATTTAGAAAAGCACTAAATATATACCCATTGCCTTCGAGTCAATTCCTACTTATAGCGACATATAGGACTGAGTAGAACTGCCCTATAGGGTAGCTGGTAGATTCCAACTGCTGACCTTTTGATTAGCAGCTGAGCTCTTAACCACTGCACCACCAGGGCCCCACTTAATATATTTTGAATGATATAATTATATTTTCACACATAAAAACAATTTGAGCTTCAGGAACAGAGAATAGCTGAGAATGAGAATTTTCTTTGAAAACTTCAGACTTTATCCCCTTTTTTCTGCAGTAAATAATTTTAGTGTTGCTCCTTTTCTTCATAGTTTGTCTCATTTACATATCTATTTTTCTTTGTTCTATTGTGTTTTCCTTTGCTTTAATTCTACTTCACTTCTTACTCTTTTAAAGTCACCTATCAGAGATAAGTCTGACAATGTTTACTACTAAAAGGCAAAACACATGCTTCTTAAATAGTCCTAGAATATTCTAGTGAAGAAAGTTCCTCTTTCCAAGGAAGACAGCATTCTCAAAAACTTCTGTACTCTTGTCTGTACTTTCTTTGCACATTATTTCAGAGCTGAGACTGTGATTTCCTGTGTATTCTGTAACAAGAGAAAGAAGGTAGGCTAATCTATTACCATTTCTTAGAAGCTTATGCTTCTTAGGTGAAGCATTCAAATTTTTTTTAGGAACCTGATTCAGATAGTTTTTCATGATGACACATACTCTGATGTTCCTTTAATGATTTAAATGTCATTTAACCACAGAAAAGTATAATTGTTTTTTTCCAAGAAATACTTAAAATGTTATCAAGTTATTATCCCCTAAAATGCTGGTGAAACACACACACACACACACACACACACACACACACACACAAGAATTGAGAGTGGTTTAAGAATCTTGATGTCAACTAATTTGACTTCCTATATTCCATGGCTTCCAAAAACGGGACTGAGGACATTGAAAATTCAGTGCCCTATTATGCTGGGAGTCTTGGAAGAAGTACAACCAGAATGCTCCTTAGAAGCAAGGATGATGAGATTAAGTCTTACATACTTTGGACATGTTGTCAGGAGGGATCGGTCCCTGGAGAAGGACATCATGCTTGGTAAAGTATAGGGTCAGCGAAAAACAGGGAGACCCTCAATGAGATGGCTTGACATAGTGGCTGCAGCAAGGGGCTCAAACATAATAACGATTGTGAGCATGGCGCAGGACCAGGCAGTGTTTCGTTCTGTAGTATATAGGGTCACTATGAGTCAGAACCAACTCGATGGCACCTAACAACAACAACAACATTATGCTGGAAAGCATATGTCTTACGTGCAGAAGGAAACAATACTTCTATTTCTTAAAAATGCATTTCAGGATTATTTCAATTTTCTAGTTGCCTGACAATAGATCTTCTTATGTGAAATATTTTTTGAAATGTGGAAGCTGTTTTCTAGAGTATGCATAGGTTTGATCAATGGCACTAGAGAATTCCTGAGGCAGATACCAACCAACCTATCCCTCTTCCTTTCAGTTCTGTAAAGAAAAGCCAGTGTTGGCACCAACATCTTTATTGCCTCTATGTATGTGAAGGAACCACCTAACTTATCGATCTGTAGGAGAGCATCAGACAATTGTTTCCAATATTTAACTGTCAATCATCCCTATCTTTAGTTTGCTAGCAAAGTAAAGTGGCTCAGCCTGTCTTTTGACTTAATTCCAAGTGAAATTGGTTAGATGTTAGTCATTTCAGTGAAATGACTACATAGACTACTTATTTGGGGGATCAAGATAGAATATTGTCATTTTAGGGGCAGATTCTACTCAGGGTAACTGACCATGTTAGATGATTGGCTAGGTCAGAGCAGAAGGGGAGGGAAAGATGATTAACAAGAACAAATAAATTCTGCCCACTTCCTGGTTTTGTATGAATACTTATCGAAAGTAAAGCTCCCTCCTCTCTCCTCACTCACACTGTGATATTCTTCTGTCCTAGACAATTGCTATATCTTTCTTCCTTTTTATTTGTGGTTTTTTTTTTTTCCATTTTAAATTATTTAATATTTATCTCTTGTGTATTCCAATTTCACATGCCTTTCAATCTTTCATCTCTCTGTCACTCTTTTTAAATCATGGCCATTTTTAGAAGGAAGTGATAGGAAATACATCATTTGAAACCAGAGGAGTAAATGAGAGTGCCAGAAAGCTTATAAAGCAAGATTTTCTCACCCATAGTCTCCTTTATTGACATATTCAATTAATTCTGGACGAACAAGGCATACATGCTGGGAACATTTCCATTGCTGTCCTGAGCATGTGCTGCAAAGAGAGAACAAAATACAAAAATAGACTGCCCTTGTAGAGTACATTTCAAAATTAGCAACAACAGTTAATACATTGTTAAGGCATAAAACATAATTTCTAGATTAATGTTAGCCATTTGGCTATTTGATTCTTGACAAAGTAAATCTTAACATGTGCACGATACTCGAATCTTCTACTCCAGACAATTAATAAATGAAATGACCATGCATTCCTTGAATTTTGAAAACATAAGACAATTTAGATAGTCGATCACTGCGTTTGTATTTGGAACCTTTCTGTAGGCTTATCCTTTTAAAACAGTTATTCAGTATACTGTTAGGGTGCTCAAGGAAACTTGATATGCCTGTGACGTATCTGGATGTTTATCATTAATATGTATACTTAATATAGGTTTGCTGTATTATGAATGCCCATTACTAGGAACATCAAAATCAAGAATTAAAAGATACATTCATGATTAGATTTTCAACATTCATTAAAATTAAATGAGCTTATTATTATTATATCTCATGACTTTATCCATCTGTATTTAAATATATGCTTAGTTTCACAAGTATTTCCATTATTTGAAGAAAACATACACAGACAGTGGAATTCAGTTCTATGCCACTTAAATTCATTACCAGGAATTGCAGTTTTCTTTAATTACTGACCCTTCTTCAAAATGTTGACCATCTCTGAGACAACCTGTCAACATAACATGTAAACAGATATAAATGCAAAATTTAGTAGTAAAGTACATTAACAAAAGAAGTAATCAAAATTCATGTTCAATTTTTCAAACATGGAAAAATATTTAGTGTCAATCTGATAATAATCCACATTTGGTTCATGTCAAGGTTTATATATCTAGTTCTCCTGGGCTTGTTCCATGAGTTTTTGTCTTTAAAACTTATATTATGATCCAACAGAGAGGAATTGGAAAGTATGAAGACTAGATTACCAAGGAATTAATGACTCATCACTCTCAAAAAATAATTAATGTATTTAAACAGATACATAATAAAACAGGGTTTAAGTCAATTTGTGACATTTCTCATTTTTAAAAAATCTAACCAATCAAGTTTTATAATCAAGTCTTTTTAGGAAGCATAATTAATTGCATATGACTAGACCAAGTACCCCATAGTTTGGGATCAAAATCTAAAGCCATTTCTTTGAATTCACCTTAAAAATACGAATTCTATTTTTTTTTCAGGATTTGGATCAAGAGAAAAATTCATGAAACCAGTAAGATTGTAGCCATTCATATTTCAAATCCAAATGTTTCTTAACTAGTACCTGAAACTCGTTGTTAACTAGTTAAACAGATCACATAAACTACTCAAAAGAAACCATTGGTGAATCATTATTATCTGAAAACCATCACTAAGATATTGTGAAAATAGTACCCTAGTTACAAATGAAATACCTTTTGAAAATATAATTTGTACATATTTAAAAGTGACATTGAAGTAGCAAAAGAGACTCTACTTTGTCTGGTGAAATTTTTTTTTTTTATTGTTGTAATTAAATGAAGTTTACATTTCAAGTTAGTCTCCCATACAGAATTTTTTTTTTTTTTACATACATTGTTATGAGACCCCAACTGCTCACCGCATTCTGTGACAGCACACTCCTCCCCTCCGCCCCAATTCCCCATGAACTTTCAACCAGCTCCCAACTCTCTCTGCCTTCCCATCTCACCTCTGGACAGAAGCCGCCCCGTTGGTCTCTTGTATCTACTTGTCTAAGAGGCACATTCTTCACAAGTATCACTTTATGTCCCACAGTCCAGTCCAATC